TTCTTCTGTTGAGGAGCCAAGTCAGGCCCTTTTAAGATTCAAGTTTGACTCTGTGATCTCGTTAACACATAGAGTAACCCATGACACTTTCAGCATATGCTTTCTCATTCATGTAGAATGTTGAATTGATAGACATTTGAACCAATCTTGTCAATCAGTTTCTGTGTTTACTGTTCTTTCATGCTATTGGTGTTTGTTTTGTTTTGTTTTTAATTCAGCGGTGGTTGTTTCAAATTTCAATACTTTAAGTTTGTTTCAATTTGTAGTTCATTGCAGAATCTCTTTTCCCTTTTATAGATGTTGCTGAGAAATCCAAAAACTTCTGAAGAGTCAGCACCACCTAGTGCAGTCACTGATATCCATAATTTAATTCCTTGCGGTGATGTGGTATGTAGATGAAGTATGTTTGTAATATCATTTTTCAGTACCAGAAGGTATTTTACTTATAGTTACATTCGCAGTGTAGGACTGCAAATAACATTTTAATGGCTAATGGTGAAGAACGTATTTATCCTTGGGATATTTCATCTTAATCTCTCGTTTTGGAGCCTACTAGCTTCTTACAATTCTAAAGGAATTACATCAGGTCTTGTTATAAGCAATCCTTATTGAAAGTGGAGGCTGGTGACTCATGTCACCGGGTTGGTGAATCTGAACTTTACAGGAGTTATCCAAGGCTGAACCATACCCTTAAACTGAACCATACCCTTAAAGCTATGTCGGGTACTTTGAAAGCCCCCTTTGAAGTTCAGAATGAACTCCAGAGCAGACTCACTGCCTCTACTGATATCGGACCCAGTAGCTTCAGTTCCATATTTAAATTAGTTCATTGTCTGTTGTCAAGTAAATCCCAACTTGTGGAGATGCGTTTAATGATGTTCTAGGTATGGAGTATTCGTAATTGGTTTAGCATTCTCTCCTTCTGTGAGGTGCCCTGGTACTGTGCAGCTTGCCCAAGGCTACACAGGTTGACTCACCTCCCAGGAGGCACAGTGGGGAATCAAACTCCCAACCTTTGGCTCTGCAACCAGGTACCTGAGGGTGCAACTAGACTAATAAAAATGCAGAAATTGCTCTGAGATTTGGACAGGCTGACTCACAATTTATTTTTCCTTAACATATGATGCAAAAGGAAATGTGAATCAGTCTGGATCTCCCCTCAATCATTCGTAGTTTTTGCCTCCACTGCTGGGGCTTCCGCTTTTTAAAAAAATGGATCCATTCGCATCAGTTCATGCAGTGTCATTGCTTATACAGAATAGCTGCTGCTCCGACACACACTCATAGGAATATAAAGCAAAGCTTCTCTTCATTGAAAATACTTTTTTTCTTTTTAGACAGCTTAGGAGTGAGGAGCAAGGCACGAGTAGATGTTGTCTAGAGGGGCGGGGTAAAAATCGAATAAATAAATAAATAAATAAATGTCTCTATCAGCAATTGTTGTTTAGTCGTTTAGTCATGTCCGACTCTTCTGATGGGTCTTGCACGCTTGATTGCTTTTATTTTCTTTTTTCCCCCTTCGGCCAGAAGGGATTAATCGCGTTTCCAATGAGTCTTGCAGTGATTGGGTGTGTGTGTGTGATATTTTTTCTTCAGCCGAAACGGATTAATTGCATTTGAATGCATTCCTATGGGAAATGGTGCTTCGACTTAAGACCATTTTGAGTTACGTCCATCTTCTGGAACAGATTATGGTCGTAAGTCGAGGCATCACTGTATACCATCATTAATTGCAGCATAGCTCAATAGCTCAGTGGTTCAGGTATCTGGCAGCAGATTCAGAGGTTGGGAGTTCAATTATCCATAGGGTCCTTTCCAACTCTGTACAGTAGTTCTAAGATTATTAATATTATAAATGAAAGAAGACTATCACCAAGATTTGTATATTCAGGTTCAAAGCTAGATTCAGGAGAGCAGACAACTATGAATGTGACTCTTCAAGGTGAATGTATCCCAGCAGATGTGAATTTCAACTACCTACTGAATAGAAATTCACATCCTCTTGAACAGCAGCATCTCTGGTCTTCTCTGGATTAGGTTCAGGCCTGCTCTCTTTCATTCTGTTTATTATGAATGCCAGACATCAATTCAAAACATAACCAGACTCATTTCTTGTTCCTCGGTAGCAGGATAGTTTAAAACGGCTATGATTGGGTTGGCATGCTATTAGCCCAGTAGGGAAAACATACAGCACACACACATAGAGTGTGATGGTGCTGCATTTGCAATTTTTTAAAAAAAACACATGGAAATCATAATCATTGATCTCCTATCTGTGCAACTACACAGTGGTGAAAATATACTTGGATCCCCTTGGGATCTGCAATTTATCAAATCAGGTTTCTGCAAGTAAATCGCTGTAGCCGTCGAGGCATCAGACTATTGGCAGGAATCAGCATGGGTAGAGAGTTGTCTTTGTATGGAAGAAACTGCCTTTGACGAAGTACTCATTGTCAATTTTTCACCTTTTTAAAAAAATGTTATTCCTGATTTGACCTAGCCAAAGCCTTTTTAAAAACAAACACTCGGTATGCATGTAACAGATGATCACTTTTTTCTTTTTTTCATTTCTTGTTCCTCAGTGGCAGGATAGTTTAAAACAACTACGATTGGGTTGGCATGCTATTTGCCCAGTAGGGAAAACGTGCAGCACACACACATACAGTGTGATGGTGCTGCATTTGCAATTTAAAAAAAAAAACACATGAAAATCATAATCATTGATCTCCTATCTGTGCAACTACACAGTGGTGAAAATATACTTGGATCCCCTTGGGATCTGCAATTTATCAAATCAGGTTTCTGCAAGTAAATCGCTGTAGCCATCCAGGCATCAGACTACTGGCAGGAATCAGCATGGGCAGAGAGTTGTCTTTGTATGGAAGAAACTGCCTTTGACAAAGTACTCATTGTCAGTTTTTCACCTTTTTAAAAAAATGTTATTCCTGATTTGACCTAGCCAAAGCCTTTTTAAAAACAAACACTCGGTATGCATGTAACAGATGATCAATTAAGGTGAACTAGCCTGGCAGGGGCTCCTTAGCCTTTGAGTCAGGTAGTCACAGTGGACAGAAAATGGGCAAGAGTAATGCCAAACAAGTTTTAAATTCTCCCACCCCCCCGAGGATCGGTTTGGGTTCATCCAAACCAACACATTTTGGGGCAATTCAGTGGACTTGCTGGTTTGTTGCTTCCCTCCCAAAGTCTGCCCCCATTCCTTTCCTATTGCCCCTATTGCCTCCCTACCTTGTCCTGCCACTGCAGCCACTACTCCCACCACCATCTTGAGAGGCAGCCGGCTCCCACAGGCCGACTGCCTGTTCTCATGGCCTGCCTCTCAGCTGAGAGGCAGACCCAAGCACACAGCCAGCCAGTCAGCTGCAAAAAAAGCATCAATATATATATATTTATTTAAACCTGTTGTTGTTGTTGTTGTTGTTGTTGTTGTTGTTTGGCAGCTGGCCTGTCAACCAACCAGATGGCATCTGCGCATGTCCCTGCCTCTTAGCTGAGAGGCAGGGTCATGCACAGAGGCAGCCTGTTTGTTTGTTTGGCAGCATGATCTTGGTTTTACAACCACTTTCCCAGCTTCTCAGTTGCATTTTAGTGTTTATTTCAACTGAATTTAAATTGCTTAGTAATTTTACATTGTTTTTATGCTTTTATATTAGTTCAGAATTGTTTTATATGATGAAACTGTCCATCAAAGTGTGCTTCCTGTCTTCCTTCCATGCTAAATGGAGACTGTGATTAGGCATCAGGGAGGGATGTGGTGGCGCTGTGGGTTAAACCGCAGAAGCCTCTGTGCTGCAAGGTCAGAAGTCCAAGCAGTCGTAAGACCGAATCCACGTGACGGAGTGAGCTCCCGTTGCTTGTCCCAGCTCCTGCCAACCTAGCAGTTCGAAAGCATGTAAAAATGCGAGTAGATAAATAGGGACCACCTCGGTGGGAAGGTAACGGTGTTCCGTGCCTAGTCACGCTGGCCACGTGACCACGGAGGATTGTCTGCAGACAAACACTAGCTCTATGGCTTCGAAACGGGGATGATCACCATGCCCTAGAGTCGGACACGACTGGACAAATTGTCAAGGGGAATCTTTACCCTTACCTAGGCATCAGGGAATCACAGCACTGAAACAGCCCTTAACCATTTAGAGAAGTAATAGGAAATAACAAAAATTTGCCATACTGCAAGAAATAAGCAGTCTGATTGAAGACTTCCTCATTCAATTAAGCCAACTAAGGAAAAACATTTTAAACCCAAACAAAAATGGTAAGCAATATAAAATAACTAAATAAATTAAATCAAAGTGGAATAGGCATTAAAACACTGCCAAAAAGTTAGGAAAGTGACTGAGAAGCTAGACCACTGAATTTCAATGGCAGATCATCCCAATAATTTTTGAATGGCTTTGTTTAAAGAAATATTTCTGGGAATTTGGGGTGGAGGGCACAAATATGGCTAGCAAGTCATATTACTACAATAGTCCCGCTCTTTCCCTTTCCTCATGCTTTACATGGGCTCTCTGCATTGTTGAATTTATTTTTGAAGTTCTCACATACATTTACTAAACCACATGTCCATTTGCCTCCCCACCCATGCCCAGCAATAAAGCAGAGTTCAATATTAGGGATGTCTCCTAGGGAGAACCAAAAGCAGGAAAGCCAGGAGAGCAGATCTGATTGAATCCAGCCTTATGTTGTTTGAACATTTTTAAGCGAGTGAAGAGACAATCAAAGGCCCTCCACAGCATGGAAGGAGGCTGCAGCAAGTAAGCAGTTTATAAAGATTATTTTTCTCCAGGAAGTCTACAGAAGTAATTTTCAGGGATCTGGCTTTTGCAATGCAGATGACAATGTTCATAAGCCATGGTATCCTTAAGAATAAACCATGCTCACCTACGCCTATTTGTTGCTGTGCTTTTTGCCTGTTTAGACAAGCACTTTTGTTTCACCAGAAAGGTTTGTGCTTCCTTGACATGAGGCTTTGACAGTTGTTGTCAAACGTGACACTTACTTGCTGGTCCGTATTAGCATAGACAAAATCATGAAATGCACAAATCCCCAGATTTACAGAGCCGGTGCCAGTGTAAAGAACAACAAAAAGATCAATGCAGTTAATTTTGGAGACATGAAATATTTTTCTGTAAAGGTATGTGGTTCTCTTATATGGATTTTAAGACTCTTACCTGTTTGAAAACGTCAGTAATTATTTGCTGGGTTGCCACGAGATCACAGATGTAAAAAGAATTGGTGGGTTATCAATGTCTTTGTCCACACGTACATCCAAATATACATGTACTCATGTAACAATAGACCTATCGGTATTTGGGTCTTTTGTAGAAGCAGGATTTATACGTGGAAGGTGATGCAGTGTGCTTGAGTAAAGTAATTAAATTAACTCACCGACAAAATTAAGAATAAACCATACTTCTTTTGTTTTACCATAAATTTTATGAAAAAGGACAACAGTTCTCCAGCACTAGATCAGTTCCCTAGAACTGAACTAGCAGGTTGTCCCTAATGACCATGAGTTGGTGAATTAATGATCCAAATAAGACAGGGCAGATGGTATGGAAATCTTGTGGTTCAGGGAGACCCACAAGAAACAGGATGACTTAAAAGCTTGACTGGTGTGTGGCAGTCTGTATGAAGGGCAAAATGAATATATTTATAGCTGTGTTAGAAGAAAGAGGATTTATCTTGCTTCAGGCTTTATAGAATGAAAAGATGGAGGCAACTTTTTTTCTGGTGGAGGCTGTAGTAAATATATTACAAGTCTTGAATTTACTTCTCCAGGAATATGTTTGTCCTCCCCTCCCCGCCGCCCCCCCTCCTTTCTAGGTTCCAATGCAGAGAAGTGATCCTAGGAATAGAATTACTTTAGAATTGGTGGGCTTTGAAGGACCGAAAGACTTTCCAAGACTGTTTGGAAATGTGTCTGTGCACCTTTATGAAGTCATTCAGGTTGGTATGATGGAAAGAGAACTTCTGAAATTGGGGGTTTCAAGTATATGCAAAATTGTACTTCCCTTTGTAAAAATATTAATAAGTAGTATTTTACAGAATAACAGCAGGCAAAGTGCTTAGAGATTTCCCCTAAAGCTTCTTAGTACTGTATATCTCTCAAGCATGCTGCTACCATGTAAAATGTGGTGTCCTTATGGTGCCAAAATGGGTATATAAATCTTTCATTCACAATCTATGGCTCTTTCAGAGCATATCTGGCTAACCAGCGTTAGGAGCAGAAAGCTATGCTAAGTGATCTCTGCTGTGATTTAGCAAGATACCCTTATATTGTTAGCAAACATTCAGATTGTTTATGGTTTTACATATAGTATTTACCAGGCTTCTGGAAGCCTCCAAACCTTTAAAGCTGTATTTTATATTGTCCGAAATGGAAGATCCAGCTCAGTGCTGGATTACAAGAGATTAAAAAAAAAAAAAACACTTTGTATCCTCTTCTGTCTCCCCCTGGGGGGGGAGATGTGAGGAAGCTTTTAATTTCTTATTCAGGTTGGATCCTGAAGCAGATGAAGCAAAGTGACAGCTAAGCCTTCTGCTTTGATTCAGCCCCAGTGATCACACATGCTGGAATTAAAACAAAACAGAGCAACCTTACCTGTACTAAGCGAACTTACAAAGTAGCCCCTGCCAGGGACCCCAAAAAGTGTGGGTAAGCATGGATAAAGGATGCGTTGTTTCATGATGGCTGATATACGTCATGGAATTGCCAGAAAAAGGAGTGAACCAGCCTGTTCCCAAAGTGGACCAAACTGTGGGACGAAGTGCTGTCTGATCTCACCCTTAGTATCATGAGGAGCAGGCTTAAATGACATTATGTTTCCCAAACCTTTTATATTTTCTTTGGAATGTTAATTGGATCATTGAGTGAAAGATTTGTTTTATTGCTCAGTTTTTAAAAAATTAATAAACATACATTACACTACACAATTCTCTTCCCATTCACGAATTTCCCTTCTCCTTCCAAAACTGTAACATTTCTTGCAATAGTACACTTCCTTTTCCATTTATTAATATGTAATCAATAAAGTTTCCTCAAATTTCTGCAACAAGTATGTCTTTTTAGTAATCCTTTCTTTTCTTTAATATTACTGTGCATGTTAACTTATCATTGACAACTTTATTGCTTAGCCTTAAGCAGTGAACAATACTCTGAGCAGTGGAAAAGCCTCTAAATGTTTGTATTTTGCTCCCATCCAGAAGCAGACCTTCACCGAAGTATTTGCTATGAGAATTAGAAATATGGTAAGAAATCTTCTTTTTAAGCAGTCAAATGAAAAAAATGTGTATTTCAGGGCAACTAAATAATCTGTTTGAATTGCCATCACATATATTTCACCTGAACCACAAATCTGCAGTTGAGAATTTATATACTTTTGTTGTGATGGGTGAAAAGGAAAAAGTATGTATATCTGAACTATTGTTTATAGGTCTGAATTACAGAGCAATACAGTTTTACTGAAAACAGGAGCTGCAAAGAGGATGTCCTATGTGAACCTGTCCACACTGAGCATTTATTCAACGTCCCTTGCACCCATGACACTGGTACTGTGGCCCCAGGATCTACACAATCCATCACTAAAACTACTGTCATCAGAGTCAAAGTGGTACAAAAAGCCTTGCTTCCTGGAGCTTTGTGGTGTATTTTTGTTTTGATTAGTTCTGATTTGCTCCATTATATGATCTGCTCATGTAGACTCTAGTATACTACATTGTTCTATGCTGATCCGCGTACTTTGAAGATGTATGTCATTGATAATATTTTCTTACAGGTGTTTTCTTTCTTTCTTTCTTTCTGCTGGTCAGTATTTGCCACTCCATGCCCTTTTAGCACGAGAAAGATAGGTAAAGATATCAGAGGACAATCTCTGTTGGGAGTAAGTCAACAGGGAGAAATTCTAGGTGGGTACAGATAGGCAGGATTGGGACAATCTAGTGTATCCCAGCACACGTTGTAGATAATTGGTAATTTTCTTTTGTTTTTGATAGCAGAGTACCAGGTACAAACAACAGCTGTGCAGAGAAAGCATAAGAGAATAGCTCAGGTGTCAGAGTTGCCCCCCTTCACAATCACTGGCATTTTGTATGTTAAAAATTACTCTGGAAGCATTTGAAGTAGAAAAAAAAGGGAAAGGTATATTTGCTTGCAGTTGTGATCTGCAGTTACAAACAGAAAAATGAAAGGGAGGTTGCAGTCTGCACATGCAGGAGAAAACTGTCTCCATGACCACATGGTCGAAAGGCAGAGAAAGCAAACCAATGAAGCAGGGCAAACAGGTGGGGATGGAAAGTGAGGGCTTGCCTCAAAGGCCAGAGACCCTGAAAAAGAACTCTGCTAATTGGTTAGTAACAAAAGCTTCGCTTATGAAAGCTCCCTCCCACTAATCGCATGCAGAGTTGTTATTATCCCAACAGCTCACGCAGCCACAAATTCCCTCCTCTTGTGGATATAAATACTAAGATAGTCTATTAAAATCTGCAATGAAAAAAATACCAAAATGAATCAGAACAAATCAGTGATTTAAGTATGCGGCTGCAGAGCCAGAGATTAGGAGTTCGATTCCCCCGCTGTGCCTCTTTGACAGGGGCTGGACTTGATGATCCAGAGGGATCCTTTCAGCTCTGCTGGAACCCCAAGAATGATTGAGGACAACATCTCTTTGTGAATGAGCCCATTGTTTCAGTCCAGCATAATTAGGGTGCAACCAGATAACTGAATTATCACAGCCTGGATCACTATGTTGTTGTTTAGTCGTTTAGTCGTGTCCGACTCTTCGTGACCCCATGGACCAGAGCATGCCAGGCCCTCCTGTCTTCCACTGCCTCCTGGAGTTGGGTCAAGTTCATGTTGGTAGTTTTGGTGACACTGTCCAACTATCTCGTCCTCTGTCGTCCCCTTTCCTCTTGCCTTCACACTTTCCCAACATCAGGGTCTTTTCCAAGGAGTCTTCTCTTCTCATGAGATGGCCAAAGTATTGGAGTCTCAGCTTCAGGATCTGTCCTTCCAGTGAGCACTCAGGGCTGATTTCCTTCAGAATTGATAGGTTTGTTCTCCTTGCAGTCCAGGGGACTCTCAAGAGCCTCCTCCAGCACCACAATTCAAAAGCATCAATTCTTCGGCGGTCAGCCTTCTTTATGGTCCAGCTCTCACTTCCATACATTGCTACTGGAAAAACCATAGCTTTGACTATGCGGACTTTTGTCGGCAAGGTGAGGTCTCTGCTTCTTAAGATGCTGTTGAGGTTTGTCATCACTTTCCTCCCAAGAAGCAGGCGTCTTTTAATTTCGTGGCTGCTGTCCCCATCTGCAGTGATCATGGAGCCCAAGAAAGTAAAATCTGTCACTGCCTTCCCCCTTCTATTTGCCAGGAGGTGATGGGACCAGTTTTTTTTTTTATTGAGCTTCAGACCATTTTTGCGCACTCTTTCACCCTCTTTAAGAGGTTCTTTAATTCCTCCTCACTTTCTGCCATCAGAGTGGTATCATCTGCATATCGGAGGTTGTTGATATTTCTTCCGGCAATCTTAATTCCATTTTGGGATTCCTCCAGTTCAGCCTTGCACATGATATATTCAGCATACAAGTTAAATGAGCAGGGAGACAGTATACAACCTTGTCGTACTCCTTTCCCAATTGTGAACCAATCAGTTGTTCCATGTCCAGTTCTAACTGTTGCTGCCTGTCCCACATAAACATTTCTCAGGAGATAGATAAGGTGGTAAGGTTCTCCTATTTCTTTAAGGACTTGCCATCGTTTGCTGTGGTCTATACAGTCAAAGGCTTTTGCGTGGTCAATGAAGCAGAAGTCGATGTTTTTCTGGAACTCCATGGCTTTCTCCATAATCCTGTGCATGTTAGCAATTTTTTCTCTAGCTCCTCTGCCCTTTCAAAATCCAGCTTGTACTTCTGGGAGTTCTCGGTCCACATACTGCTGAAGCTTACCTTGTAGGATTTTGAGCATAACCTTGCTAGCATGTGAAATGAGTGCAATTGTATGGTAGTTAGAGTATTCTTTGGCACTGCCGTTCTTTGGGATTGGGATATAGTCTGATCTTTTCCAATCCTCTGGCCACTGATGAGTTTTCCAAACTTGCTGGCATATTGAGTGTAGCACCTTAACAGCATCATCTTTTAAGATTTTAATTGTTGTCCAGAATATCCAAATCTTTATGGTATAATTCCTCTGTGTATTCTTGCCACCTGTTCTTGATGTCTTTTGCTTCTCTTAAGTCCCTACCACTTTTGTACTTTATCATATTCATCTTTACACAAAAGGTTCCTTTAATATCTCCAATTTTCTTGAACAGATCTCTGGTTTTTCCCTTTTTTATTTTCCTCTATTTCTTTGCACTCTTTATTTAAGAATGCCCTCTTGTCTCTCCTTGCTATTCTTTGGAAGTCCGCATTCAATTTTCTGTAACTTTCCCTATCTCCCATGCATTTTGTTTCCCTTCTCTGCTCATTGGACAGCCGCTTTGCTTACTTGCATTTCCTTTTCTTTCGGATGTTTTTTGTTGCTGCCTCCTGTACAATGTTACGAGCCTCCATCCATAGTTCTTCAGGCACTCTGTCCACCAAATCTAGTTCTTTAAATCTGTTCTTCACTTCCACTGTGTATTCATAAGGGATTTGGTTTAGATTAAACCTGACTAGCCCAGTGGTTTTCCTACTCTCTTCAGTTTAAGTTTGAATTTTGCTGTGAGAAGCTGATGATCAGAGCCACAACCAGCCCCAGGTCTTGTTTTTGCTGACTATATAGAGCTGCTCCATCTTTGGCTGCAGAGAATACAATCAATCTGATTTCGGTATTGCGCATCTGGTGATTTCCATGTGTAGAGTCGCCTCTTGTATTGTTGGAAAAGAGCGTTTGCGATGACCAGCTTGTTCTCTTGACAAAACTCTATTAGCCTTTGCCCTGCTTCGTTTTGAACTCCAAGGCCAAACTTCCCTATTGTTCCTTTTATCTCTTGACTCCCTACTTTAGCATTCCAATCCCCTAGAATGAGAAGAACATCTTTCTTTGGTGTCAGTTCTAGAAGGTGTTGTAAGTCTTCATAAAATTGGTCAATTTCAGCCTCTTCAGCATTGGTGGTTGGTGCATAAACTTGGATTACTGTGATGTTGAAAGGTCTGCCTTGGGTTCGTATTGAAATCATTCTATTAGTCTAGATGTTTACTAAACAGGGTCAGTCTAGATGTGTATTAAACAGGGTTGCTTTGAGGGTGCAGTATGTCATTTGGGGTCGTCCTTGCATCCACATGCAAAGATCAATTACTGTACACTACAATTCAAGATTTCTATTAGTCTAGATGTTTACCAAACAGGGTCAGTCTAGATGTGTACTAAACAGGGTTGCTTTGAGGATGCAGTATGTCATTTGGGGTCATCCTTGCATCCACATGCTAAGATCAATTACTGTACACTACAATTCAAGCAAGCCTATTTAGCATTATCTCGACAGACCTTCTTTCCCTTTGAAGGGAAAGAGGGCTTTCCATTTCTCAAGATCGTTAAATGGCTTAGGCAAAGCATGGACAAGAGAAGAATGGGATATTTGTTATTGTTTATTCCTTTCCCTTTAAACATAAGAGAACAAAACCAAAAGGAAAACAGAATTAAAGAAGATTGTCCTGTTCTCTTTGTGCTCTAAGCCACATGAAGATCTTGAGAAACAGGAAGCTTTATTTCCACTTGCCTGGGATGGGCGAGGGAGAGTAAGCTTTCTATTTCTTTCTAATTGTTGCCAGTCAACACAGCACATTCAAAGCACCACAGATGTGTTAGCAACAATGAGGAAGAACTGCAAAACTTCATTTGCTTTCATCGCCAGAGGCGAGCAGAAAGGAAGCTTTCCATTTCTCAAGATCATTAAGTAGCTTCAGCAAAGGGACAGCCAGCTAGCCACTTTGGGTTGATACCAAAGTAAACCAAACCAAAACAACTGATTCTGCCCACGCAAAAAACAACAACAGTAGACCCAAAAGGGGACCCAAAAAGGTACAAATAGGCATAGATCAGAGTGGGCTGTTTCATGATGGCACATATACAGTACATCATGTGGTTGCCAAGAAGCAAACCAGGCTGTCCTCAACCTGGACCAAACTGGGACACATGCCTGTCTCATCACTCCTTTAGTTTCATTCCTAAGGGAGTGAACTCCTTCAGTATCATTTTATCTGAAGAAGTACCATTGAGTAGATAAGCAGCTTCCTGCTCAACTGGAGCCTGGATTTAGAATCGAAGACTTTGAAATTGATTGCTGATATTAAACATGTACTGTATGTTTCATTTCATAGCAGGTTGTGTTCATGATCTGCAAAGACATAAGCACTATAAGAACCTGTGAGCCGAGATACTGAAAAACAAGGACTGTTTTCTTACTGTTTTTGCTACCTTTGTTTTTAAAGAGACAGATAGCTCAATCTTTTTGCTGCGGATTTTAAAATCATTTTGTGGGACATTTTTGCTAGTTTTGATGCATTATTTGCTGTCTGTGGGGTGGACTGCAGAGCAGCTCTTCAAAAATGTTTGAGTTCAGTTCCTGTGGAATTATTTGCATAAATGCATACGACTGGATCATAGCATTTACTTTAAAGAATGCAGGCTACGCTAGATATCAATTTGCATCAAAAAGAGCTCTTCCACTAATGGCAAGTATCTTCTACTCACAGAAGGAATATTTTGGTCTAAGTGGAAAAGCTCTTAGTTAATCTATTCATCATATTTCAAGGCAATGCCCTGATGTACAGTATTGTGGCACTGTTCTTCACACAAGTCTTCAGATTATGCTTGTGCAAGACCTCAAAGAATAGCGTTAGTGCATTTTCTTCTGCGCAGTGTTCTTTCTGTGGTTCCAATGCACAGGATGAAGGCGCTAACTAATTTTTTTTCTAGCCACTTCTCCTTAGTAAGTAACTTCTCTTACTTTTGTGCATAAGTTCTCACCAGTATCTATGGAAATCTTAAATTCTGTGCTCATTGTATCTCCTAAACACAAGGGAGAAATGATTTTTCCCTCCTGACTCAGAACACTTGTACTTACGTGCCATAAACATCATTCAAAATTTAATGTACATTATATATTTTGTTACTAAAAATGTGATCTTTATACTTTCAGGTTTTCTGCACAGCAGAGGTGGAATTTATGTTCTGCTATGGATGTTTTGGATATGGCTATTCCCATCAGGTCACTTTTTCTTCTCAACAAAAGTAGTTTATTTGAGTCTGAATCATGAGGTTGAAAGACACCCAAAAATAATAAAATCCAGTACTTTAAAAAAAAAAACAATTCCCAGCCTGCAGGCTCCCTCATAGAAAGTTGATTGCTGTATTTTACAAGGAGAGTCATGGGGGGGGGACATAATCCATCTTAATAAAGATTTCTGCATATAAAATGGCTCTAGCCAATTTACTTCTGCCTTCAAATCAGAAAATGTAGCGCGAGAACACTATGACGGTGCAACTACACTGGGGAAAATATGGGATTACTACTAGAAGAGGATTTGGTCTGCAGAATCCAGACTTTTGTCAATCCCTTGGACTAAGTGGGCAAATTCCAAGCTCCAGGCGTTTTCCCACTTGGCTCCAAAGCTGTGGAATTCTCTCGCTCAGCACCTTTGTTAGCACCAGAGTTAGACGTGGTCTGTTCCACTTGGAGCCGTAGGTGTTGGGTGTAGGGGACAGGTCAGTGACCAGTGTTTTTTATTTGAACTTAGCTAGTTTTTAGCAATTGCTCAATTCTTTTTGATCATTGCTAATTTGGAGGAGTTTTATTTTAATGTACAAGTTCGTACATATACATAATATTAAGGTTGTGGTTGAATGTGTTACATGTTTGTACATTATTGATTTTCTTGCTATACACTCTGATGTAGAGTGCTGTTGCTATGTTCTTAAAAGACTATTTCTAGCAGTCACTTTGATCAATGTTTTTTGTATGTCAGTGTCCTGTCCAAAGTAATGCCTCAATATTGTTGAGGATAACAATGCTTTAGCTTTACACCTCCACCTGGCGACTTGCAGTCTTGCAATTTGCATTCAGCAGGGCTTACTCCGAGTTATATGTTTTCAGAATTGCACCTAACATTGATCAGAAACCTTATTGCAATTTTAGGTTCACTAGCCCTTCCTATTGAGATAAAACCCCTTGACTAACGCATGACATTATTTTCTCCACAATAACTCCTAGAATCCAATAGGAGTTAATAATTGTAAACGTTTAGTTTTGTTGAATCCTCCTATAATTATGATGATGATGGTGACGATATCATACTTAGGGATATGTCTTATGACATCTTACAGAGCCAAATGGGTAGCCGTTGGTAACAAAAACCATAAGAGACTAAGAAAAGGCTGCCCTTCCTCAGATGCATAACATGTTATCTTCAGTCGATGCAGAAAGAAAAGAAGGGGAAGTATTACAAAATGAGGCAAGACGCCACGGCCCGGACAGGCATGCACCTGACTGCCCTGGATAGGATCACTTTGCAGGAAGCAATCTTCTAGGTGCTGGGGAATTGCTTCTGCCTGGCCCCCAAAACTAGTAGCCCTGAGGTTGGACCAGAAAATCTCATCCTGGGCACAGATCAGGGTCAGACTTCCCTGTTTGTTGTGGGATCACCAGGAAATACGTTGCACTGGATGGCTCCACAAGCCATCCGAAATGTGTGATCTGGGATAGAGACATGAGGTGGGGAAAGACATTGTGTGGTACATTATTCTGATAATCAGATGGTGCATCATGATTTATTTCACTGATTTGCTTTTGCAGCTGAAACTGCCAGGTGCAGATCCCGCCAAGGCTGTAGCATACTCCATGTTTCTGAGGGTTCCCCCACCGGAAAACAGAAAAGATCTCTCAAGGCAAATATTTTTCATATCTAACAGATAACTGAGGGAATTATGCAACTGAATCTCATTCTGTTATATCGTACATACATATATGTTTTCATTTCAGGTCTATTGAAAGTCTTACTCAGAACTTTTTGTGTTAAATCATTTCTAATTGGAGTTATCAACAATCAGATATTCCTATGTGCCTAGGAGGGAGTTCTCCATGTCAAAATAAGTCTAAAATAGCAATGAAGATGAATATTGCCATCCAGATTCCTCGTATGTACTTCCCTATCCACCTCCTACACTTGAAACACTCTCAGGAACATAAGATTTCTACCTTTCTTTGTGGGTGTGAAATCCTTTGACGGTTATACAAGCATTATATAAATGCAAATTATGCTGATTATTAAATGAAAACATGTGAGAATTGTGTTGTTTTTAAGTAAAAGAATACATCCCAGCCCAAGGGTGTCCTCCTTGTTATTCAGTTCACAGGCTGGGGAAATCATTTCAGATTCTTTTGGATGTGGAAAGTCTCTAGGATATTTGCCTTTCTAAAAAGCAACATGGTCATTAGTTGGGTGGAGCGTGAGGACAGAATTCTTTATAGTTGGGTCGGCAAGCATTGCAATGTCCTGTTCTTTCTTCTTTTACAGGAACGTCATCAAGCCTCAGCGCATGGATTACCCTGCATTCTTATCTCCAGATCTAAATGTCACAGTTGGGAAGGTTGAACTAGACGCCCCTACAGAAAATTCGGAGCAGTACCAAAGTCTTCAGAAGGCTTTGAAACAGCCACCACGAGAGAGGCAAGAATCAGAGAAACACAAGTGTTGTTTTTTTCTCTCTTCTTCATGTGGCTCATGAGCTTTTGTCAGTGAAGGGGGAGAGAGCCTTCCCGGTACTTTTGAGGGAAACTCCATATTTTCTTTCCTAGTCTGTAGCAGAGGGTTGATACGGGAGTCACAGTTTAACCCATGGTGAATAGAAGCTGACCTGATTCAATATTATTCGATATAAAGCCTCGTGGCACAGTGGTTAAAACACTGTACTGCAGCTAAAACTGTGCTCACGACCTGGGGTTCAAATCCTAGGTAGCCGGCTCAAAGTTGACTCAGCCTTCCATCCTTCCGAGGTTGGTAAAATGAGTACCCAGCTTGCTGGGGGGGCAATGTATAGCCTGTATAATTAAAATTGTAAACTGCCCGGAGAGTGCTTGTAGCGCTATGGGGCGGTATATAAGTCCAATAAATAAATAAATAAATAAAATAAATATTAGGCCCCTTAATCTAGTTGTTCTAAGTGTTGCCTTAGTAAATGGTCCATAGAACTGTGACAGATAGTTGTATCACTGTACTAAATGACTTGTTCGCTTTGTCATTATGTGCCATCAAGTCATTCCTGACATATGGCAGCCCTGAGAGGGTTTTCAAGGTATGTGAGATGTTCAAGGAATGATTTACTGGTGCCGTCCTGTAGTGGCTCTGCATGACTTAACGGGTATTTGAACCCAAGTCTCCTGAGTCTTAGTCCAACACTCTGTCCATTACAGCACACTGAGTTTGTTGTTGACTTTATGCAGTTTCCTTCCCATGGCTCTAAACGTTTGCTTTTTGGACCGGGAACAAATTGAGAAGTTGAACTTTCAATAATTTATCAAAACAGGAGCAAGAAGGAATCAGCAAATAAAAATATAGCAGCCAGATTTTTTTAAAAAACGACCATTTTAAACACCTTGGAAAATAAAATGTAGGCTTTCTTGAAGTATTGTTTTTTACAGAACTGCTTAAGGGGCTGGCATTTGCTTGCATCACATGCTATAAACTAGGGGTTTTAAAAACCCTTCACATTGTACCAAAGCACCAGAGTTAGCTCCAGGGAAACTTCCCTGCAGAGGGGATTGCAAAAGAGAGGGAGTCTCCACCAAAAAGTTGCTGGTTACTGCTCACCTAATTTCAAAACACAGAGGTACTGTAACCTCTGTATAGCTTCATGGACAAGTACTTACACGTTGGAGTGTATTGATAAATAGACCAACAGCCACTGAAGTTTTTAGGCGCGCTAGAGGACATTTTAGAGGTGACTCATTCATAGGGTCACCAGAGGTCAGAGACAACATGGTGGCAACATAACAACAAAAGAGGAACGAACTGGACAGTCGTATGTAATGAGAAACAGTATTCCCTCAAGTGGTGAAAGTCACCTGTTTATCATGGCATGCACTTTTCCTCACTTCAGCATCTTGTATTCTAGTGTGCTTTGTCTTATGTTTGGTCACTGGAAGGTAGACATGAGCTCAGTTTGCAGGTTCGATTGCTGAGACATGCATCTCTAAAGAAATCTTGTCAATGAAGGTAACACTTTTAATTGCAGAGACTCTACATTTCTCTTAAGGCTCAGTTTGACCCAGAGCTTATGTCAACCTTGCTATTCTATGCTTACTGCAGGATTTGTGACTTGTCAAACTAGTAGTTCTAGTAGAATCTAGGTGGCCTATCCTGTTTCCCTGAAAAATAAGACCTAACCTGAAAAGAAGCCCTAGTATGATTTTTCAGGATGCTCATAATATAAGCCCTACCCCAAATATAAGCCCCAGTTAAATAAGCTCCAGCATTGTGCAGCAACCACAAGATGACATGACTGTATTTGAATAAATGTAGATGGTTGTACATGAAAAAAATAAAACATCCCCTGAAAATAAGCCCTACTGTGTTTTTGGAGCCAAAATTAATATAAGAACCTATCTTATTTTCGGGGAAACACGGTAGTTCCAGGTACTCCACTTCCACAGCACCCTGGATTGGCTCAGAGTGTAATTTGGTCCCAATGGCAAGGAAATCTGCCTATCACCGTTATTTTGGTACTCTTAAAAATGGGTTGGTGTGTGTCTGTGTGTTGTTCTTTAGGTTGGAGAGAATGAAAAAAGAATATCGGAGTCTGAAAACATGGCGTGAGAAGGCAGATTATTTAGACCAACTCATCTTAAAAAGGGGTCCAAAAATAAAACCTAGTCAAGCAAAGGTAATATTGTGTTGCAAGAAAGACGAATCATGGGCAACTGACTAGGAGCCACATTTCATGTGAATCGCTTTTCAGTAGTTCCCACCAGTTTTTAAGGATTCGTATTAACAAAAAATCAACAGCAAGTGATATAATCATAACACCCCTCTGCCCAGGCCACTTCTGGGAATCAAGAGTTCCCCTTCACTATTTTAACTCAGGTTGTTGTCTGTTGACACTCTTATTGTCATAGTTATAGACTGTAGCTATATATACGGGTGGTCAGCGCTGGTGATGTTATACTTGGAGAGACCTGTAATACCCTCCAGTCTTGTAGCACAGTGGTTAAACTGCAGTACGACAGTCAAAACTCTGCTCACAACTTGGGTTCAATCCCAGGTATCGCTTGAGGTTGACTCAGCCTTCCATCCTTCCAAGGCTGGTAAATTGAGTACCCAGCTTGTGGGTGGGTGGGTAGGGATATGTAGCCTGCATAAATTGGAAATTGCCCAGAGAGTGCTTGAAGCACACTTTGCTTTGCTTTTGCTTTGTTATAGGGCATGTACAGGATTTTGGGAAGTACCTACTAAAACCTCCAAATGGCTCAGAGTAGCACAGTCAGCTCCGCAATGAGAAGTGCAATTTTGATCCCACTCTCTGCCAATCCCCAGCTCTCTTTTAATGGTTCATTGTAAAGCTGGTGGGTTGTTAAAAGTGTTGTGCAGGGAAACACTTTTCAAACAGGGAAAAGGGACCGTTTCCTAAAGTTTCCTGTAATATGTAAAGAACACACATGCCTACCATGGAAACATAGGCATCTGCTGTCGTTCATCAGAGTTGTTTCTATTTCACATCAATTTTAGGTCTCTCTCTCTCTCTCTCTCACTCACTCTTTGGTGATCTAGCACTAAACTAATGAATGTATTAATGCAGTGTTAAACTGGTCTAGCACTAAAATCAGTAGTTTGTTTTTTTAACAATTAAAAAAAATTCCCTTGGAGCAACTAGGAGAAGGATTGCAGCAGGCAGGTGCTCCTGCTGTCCAGAACATCATGCCCAGTTTAGTACATTGTCAGAATACCACCCCCACCCCCATGCACACCCTTTCGGAGAACAAAAAAAGTTGATCACATGGGGAAGTACTATTTGAATCACTCAGGCTTGGGGAGGAAAAATAGAAGCATCCAGTGGCAGGGAAGAAAACTGTGCAGAAAGGGTCAGAGTGATTCACCCATCATGTGGCCCATTAAAAAAACCTCAGATTCATCTGCCATACTCTCTTTGTATGGATGGCCTACCAAAGATATGTTGGAAAGGCCTGCTCTAGGTGTCCCATCCTGCAAAGAAATTAGATGAGCAATGGGGATTCAGTGTTGGGCTTTTTCCATCGTTTTACTTGAAGCCTTGAGCCTGTGCGTCCACAGATGGCTCTCTTTTCCTTCTGTAGAGCAGAGTGTGAGAGGCTCCCATTTTTTTTACCTGGCCCTGACAAGTATTATACAATTTTTAATGTTTTCCCTATGTATGCATATGTTTATATTACCTCTCATTATCTGTCTGTCTGTCTGTCTGTCTGTCTGTCTGTCTGTCTGTCTGTCTGTCTGTCTGTCTGTCTGTCTGTCAAAGCCATTGTGATTATTGTGAGCACTTAAATCCATGATGCCCATGGGGAATTAGTTTTGGGAGTGATTTTTAATTTTTCCAGATGTGTTGTAAATTGGAATATATTAGGTGATTTAATCACATAGAAACGTAAGAAGCAGCTTTATGAAATCAGGTCGCTTGTCCTCCTAACACAGTACTGGCAACTGTGACTAGCCAGGGCACTCGAGGTTTCCAGGCAGAATGTTTTCCCTACCCCTTCCTGAAGGTGGATGTTATTCCCCAGTCATCTCTCATGCAAGTAGGAACCAGGCCCTGTTTAGCTTCCAAAGTAAGATGAGAGTGGATATGCTTGGGATCATACGGTGGTATTGAGGCCAGTATTCTCTTGTAGAACTCTAGTTTAGTATGATTATTTATTGGATTTATACCCCACACCATCTGGCAACCAGGCCACACTGGGCGGCTAACAACGAGATAAACAACACAATATCAACACACGATAAAAAATGAAACAAAACAGACATTCAAGGAGGTAGATTAGTGGGCTGCAATGCAAGCTCCCACGTAAAGGGTGAGAAAAAGGAAGATTTCATTTTGTCATTATGATAGGAAATTGCGAAGCATATGTTTCCCCAACAACAAATTGTTGCTAATCAAACAGTTCCTTTTAAAAAAAAAATTCATGGCCCATGCAACTCATGTGCAAAGAGATGAAGCTGAAGACACACTCTCTTCAGTTGGTGGCAATTTGCTGTTGATAGCAATGTCATTCTCTTTGCCAGTGGAACTCCTCAGGAGGAGGCCAGCCATCAGCAAAAAAGATGCCTTTCACCTGTCTAGGGTAATGCCTACTTTTTAAGAGCTAGCTATCTGGCTGGCTGGCCAAAATGCTCAATTTAAGCAGCCATGCATGTGGATATAGGTTAAGTGGCTGTGATTAGGAATTAATAGGCTTCCTCACTAACCTGATGCAATGCTGTTTTCCACTAACTGCTTTTTACCATTACCTTTACATCACTATCAGACAAAGAGCTTAGGTTTTAATTAACTGTTGATGTTTATATAAACTAGCATTCCTGGAAACAAGATAACAAAATAAATTAGAACCTTATCTTCTATGAGAAACAGGAATAATTATGCATATTGGCATGCAATGTTCTTAATCGTTTTAACACCTTTTCCTCCCAAGGTGTCTCGCTTCAGAGAAATTGTTGGGAAGATGCAACTGCCTTTTGCTCAAAGAAGTGGAATTTCTTCAGGTTTAGTAATTTCTTTTTCCTCTTTAAAATTTGTATCTTGAGGGAAGAGCAGAAAGCTCAGTTGTCCTGTTTTTAAACTCTTGTTTAAACAGCTTGCACTTGCTGTTCCAGAGTTCAATATTACCTTGTTTGCAAAGAAGAAGAGAAACTCATCTAAATTTAAAATACAACAAGTACTTATACAGGGAGAGATAAACAGGAAGCATTTAATTTAAGCAAGCTGAGAAACTTAGCAAGTCTTAGCAGAGTTAATGTAAATATGGCTGACAGTGTTTTGGAGAGGTGTCCCGTGAGCCCCTTAAAACCTTGGTGTTTGCTTGAAAGCTGCTGACCAAATGAAAGCTAATTACCAGCAATTTCCAGCCTTGTCAACTATTTCTAGATTTGGGAGACTGTTGTGGGAATTGCCACAGAATGGCTACTGTGGGAGCTTGGTGGTTGCAAAAGAGAGGCTCTTGGTCAGGATGGGTACAAGGCAGAGATTGGGCCTGAGCTGCAAATACAAATTCCAGTTTGGGCTCCATTTAATATGGTGACGTGTTCTTTTTTTAGAGAAATGGAAACTGACTTGGTCCATACAAGTAGCTTGCCCAAGAAACCAAGAGCCAAGTTGCATGTTACAGTCACCCATCTGAAATTCATGAGCGTTCCACCAACATGCTTCTGCCAGACCTTCGCATCTGAGCAGTTCTCCTTGCAAGCAAAGCCTGTGCTTACCTCCCAATGGCTGCTAACAAAACAGAGTAAAATAACTTACAAATTACAGGAAATTTACACTCTCCTACTGTGGCAGTCCGATGTTCTTAGAACATATAGGAAGTCTCACATCTAATGGTGGCTTTGATTTCAAGGTAAAGATTGGATCTGAGCTCCAGATGCTAAACCACATGCTTGACTTTATTAAAATACCTGTTCCCAAAAAATAAACCGCTGATCAGAGAAATGCCACCTCCAAAGGGCACACTAAGGCAGCAGACACACACACCCCAAAAACCCACATATAACCATCGATAACTCCCTTGCTGCAAATCCCACAGGACTACAGCCCTCTACAACATTAAGAACAGACACCATACAGCCATACGTTTTCCTCTGAAGCCCCAGGGTGTTCCCTATTGCCATCACTCCTGATGACCCCTGTTTACCAGGCAACGGGACATTCTCCTTTCTTTCAAGCACGAGAGAAGGAAAGAAAAGCACCCGCTCCAGTTGTCCAACAAGAGACAACAAAGAAGAACTAGATGCTAGCCTGTATGTGTGGTTCTTTGAGTGGTCCTCTGTGAATTAACACCACCTTCCTCTCCTCACTGGATATCCCATCCTAGTTTGTGCCTTGGGCAGTAAATTAGGAACTGATGGGTCTCCCATCAAAAAGACTGCAGTTCACTTCTTTTAAAAAATAATAATAATCTGGAGCATCCTACACAGGAAAAAGACTGGTGTGAGTTCATGGTGTCTACTTGAAGAACCACAGGAGCAGCCTCTTCTTCTGAGCATTAAAGACAGCTAGATGAACATAAATGACAGCGATGCACAAATCTCTGGGGGCAGCAAAGGTATATTTTCATATAGGAGTAATTCAGACACTGTAGTAGATGAATACATTTAGATTCTGGAGTTAGGATATTTTTTTTTTTGTAACAATGAACTGAATCCTGTTGGTGCTCATGTAAAATTTGTGCAACTTGCCACAGCTAATTGACAAGGCGTTGGAATGTGTCTTGGTTGTTCAGCTGGACAGATGAAGCAGGCATGTGCCAGAAATGTGCCCTGGCACTTCATGAGTGAGCCACAGTTAGCTGCAGGAAACTTTACAGGAACACCAGTAATATAATTAATATCACTACATATTTTATTCTGATTAATGGTGAAATATAGTAAAACGTAATAGTAGCAACAATATTTGTATAGAGGCTGGCTAGGACTATTAATGCACTTGGACTCATTCTTCATCATTACTATACAAATTTTTATCATATGTCCTTCCTGAAAAAATAATCCGCTGCTGAGGCAAAGAGGCAGTCCTGAAACCAGCAAAACCAGGGAGCTGGACAGGGGACAGATTGTATTTGTCTTCAGTGTGGAAGGGATTGTCACTCTCGAACTGGCCTTCTCAGCCACACTAGTCCACCATACAGAGCATGTTACCATAGTCTCTCAAGACTGAAAGATGCCTAATCTAATCAGTGTCTTAGACTCTGGCCGAAATCTTGTTGCTTGCATATAGAGGCACAACTAGAGTATGGCCGTTGAATCAGTGGGGATTTGGTGAGTAAACTGCATAAATTTCACTGCATCAATGAGTCTACTCTAGTTGTGATTTACTACACTAAACGAGTGGATTTTGTTGCTTAAATTTCCAGTGAAATGCACAGCCGAAGCCCAGCTCTCAAAAGGTCAGCATTAGCCAGAGAAGTCCCCCTTTCTCTATTCTACTCAAGTTCCACCCTCTTCCAAAGACTAGCACCTTTTATGAAATAAGACTCGGGAGGCTGTCTTTAGGTATAAAGCATAAAAAAGCACTTTACTCACTTACCTAAGAGTATAGCAGGTTATCATGGCTCAAAATTGATAGAAATAAAAATAGTAAAAAGAGGTTTGTGTCCTCAGCCCATGTGACTTGAGAAGATCTCCAGGCTGCAGAGATTCAGCCTGGGTTTGTTCATCTTGCAAAAGATAAAAGGTAATGGTATCCTCCAAACACATGTGGAGGAGAAGGGTGGAGTCTCTTTAGCCCCCCCCCCGAAAAATAAGCCTCTCTGTTTAGTCAGCATGCAAACAAGCAAGCAAGCAAGCTAGTGTGAAAGAGGTCCTCTCCTCCCACGTGTTGAAATTTGCATCAAGATTGTTAGTTGGCCAACAAATTTTAGTCACTGTGTTATACCATTCATGTTTTATGACACTGTGTTCTTTCCAGTTTATTAACATGCTTTAACCATTTTTTATCTCTACAGAGAAAGTAATTAAAGAAGAAATAACCCAGCCTGAAATGCAGCCGCCTGAAATTCAGCCACCTGAAATGCAGCCCGCTGAAGGCCAGGTATGGATGTGTGTCAGTGGTACTTTGGTAAAGGTCCAACTCTGAGTGAAAAATATTTGCATGCAAAATCGCTTGCGGTCATTCTGTGTACAATTCCAAGGCCACTCATTAATTAATTACGATTATTCTTGTTGTTTGCAGGAATGGGCAAATGTTTCTCATGCTGTATCGCACATGCTTTTGCCACAAGTCATATCTGAGCCATCTCACCAAGAAACCGAGTCGGAAGGAGAGACGTCGGAGTCGGAGGAGCAATTAGCAAGGACTTGCAAATTCAGTCTACCTCCTGAAACACTCCAGCCTGTCCCAGCAGTGACTGTAACATCAAGCCCCTCTGGCTCTCCAGAATCTTCAGAGGGTGGAGATGTCCTGGAGAGGAAAGTTAGAAGAGAAAAAATTTCCCAGGAGTCTGAAACGTCACTATCTAGTTCAAGTGGAATCCCGGCAGAGTTTTCCGAGGCTGGGGATTCCGAAGGCCTTAATTTAGCAGGTTTTGGGAGCCAGGGGGTACAAGAAGAAACTCCTAGCACGCCAAAAAAAGTATCTCCTGCAGAATATCCACCAGAACCAATCCAGGTAGCTGCCAGTAGTTTTACTTCTCTCCCATCTTCCCTGCAGTGGAAGTGATATTGTTCCATCTTTTCTTTTTCTAAATGACACACATCTGTTCCCCAAGATTTCCTTTTATTTCACTGTGTTTAGACCTCTTCTATGACTAAGCATCGTAATAATCTTTCTTAAACTTTTGAACACACACACACACAAACGGAGTAAGATACCTGTCGCCACATATTGATTTGATTGTACCATACATCCTCCGCAGATACAGTAGGACCCATGTCTGTAGGATCAGTACCCACTGATCCACTTATCAACAATCTGAAAATATTAAAAATAGAGTATTAAAAGAAAAATCCTAGAAATATGTTTTTAAACATGAAGTTACCAGAACTGGCCACTAGAGGGAGACAGAAACCCTGTTTATATACCCAATTACTGTCTTGAGGTGTCAGAAAACACATTGTATTAGAACTAAAATACTTCACTGTGTTCTCTGTGAATCACTAAATAGTTCTTATGTCTGTGCAGAGCAGTATCCAAGATCTCCTAGTGCTGAGTACGGACAGGAATCTCACCTCCTCTGCCTTCGTATGGAAGCTCTTCTGAGAGGATTTTCTTTATCTATTTGAATAGCTTCTTTATCAGCTTTATTTTTTTGTTGTTTCACTTAACAGCTGTTTTATCATGTTTTTGATGCTGGGTTTCCATTTTATGGCCTCGGAGGCTCTTTTCAAGAACTGAGTCTGCAGGGGGAAGATTCCCCCTCCAGTGGGCACAAGCGCTTAATATCTGTCATAGATTCATGAAAGCTGAATTGAGGAACACAGAACTGAAGTTAATATTTTTACCTTTGGGAAAAGTTGCTTTAAGCGATGGACTTTGGCAGCAAAAACTAGTTCTTTATCCAGTGCTTCCTTCCGCTTCAGTTCGTCAATCTCATTCTCTTCAGACCTTGATGGCTGCACTCGATCCATACCATTCCATGTAGCACAGGTTGCGGTGCAGCCATCAACTACAGAACAATCTGTTTTGGCTGCAGGTGACGTCCCTTGGAGGTGACTGCTCTCTCTCTCTCTCTCTCTTTTTGTGTGTGTTACGGTGGTCCCTGCCATGCTGGCTTTTGAGACGCAAGACAAGATTATCTTTCAGGTATTTATCCTTGGAGCAAGTGGTTTGTGTGGGATCTTATTCTAATTTGAGTGAACAAGCAGCTCCTCCCACTTTAATGCTACACATGCCCCTCATTAGCAGCAAAGCAGATGCCTGCTGTACTCTCATTCAATCTCGAGAATATCATTGATCTCCAGGATCTGATCCTTTTGCGTTGTCGTTATATCACCGTGGTTGAGCTCCATCTCCTTATGGTTTCTGAACAGCCTCCATAACTCCTCCTTATGATTGTTCCCCCAGAAGGACTGCAATTGACAGTGTGAAGGATTTGCCCTTGTTGGTTTCCTCTGCAGACTTTCTATGAGTGCTAGTATCTTCTTGCAAGCCGCCACAATTCAGCCATATACCCATACATGGAAGCACTGTGAATCATTTACTACCTCGTTTCATAACAGCATTTCAGCCATCTCCAATCCCTGTGGTGCTTGCCTTCCTGCTTCAATCCCAAGTATCTAGCTTATCCGGCTGCTTGCTCTGTGTAGGCAATAGTAGCGGAACAGCCATCTGCACTCTTGACCCTGGCAATTATTTTGCATCTTCTCCTTCAGAAATTTGAAGTTTGTTGCTGGTACCTGCCTGCTGCCTAACAGCCTTGCTCACACAATTCTTGTCTCCAGTGTTTGAACCAGAGTGGATCTCAAACACTTGACTTTCAAGACAGCATTTCTAATAGTGGTTGTGTTGGCTTGTAGAGCTTGTGTGCTCCATGGTTAGTGATCTGACCCATCTTTCATTATATTTCATTATGACGAAGTGATTCCTTGACCTAACATCTCTTTCTTCTTGAATGTAACCTTTGACGTCCACATTAATCAGAACTTCATTATTCCCCCTTGTACTGCCAGTCCCTCGACACCCCTGGAAACCTCTCAATGGCTGTCAGACCCTAACCTTTTATCTTGATACAGAACGGTTCCCTTTTAAGCACTTGCCCTACTCTCTTTCTTTGTTGCCAAGATTGCATGAAAAGGAAACCCAGTATCAACCCACCCTTTGTGGAGTGTGTCATGTCTGCTCAGTGTGGTTCGCCTGCATATTGCCGCTATGATTTGCAGTCATTCGAGCAGAGCAGTGGCCTCTTGCACTGCATTTCTTCAAAGGAATTCCTCTGCCACAAAAACGCAGAAGACAATATGGTTCCACTTACGTTTGTGAACCATTACATGCTTCTTTGAATGGTCATCTGTGAACTCTGACAACCTACCCACAATCAGCCAATGACTGCTTTCTTATTGATAACAGATGGAAGAGAGCTGTTAGGGAAGAGGTACAGGGATCTCGTCAAGATCTGCTCAATTTTATAAGGGAGTGGGGCTGGTTCTTCACGGGTGCAAGGCCCATTTGCGTGAGTTCACAGAAGACTCCTTCAAAAGTCAGGGGAGGATTTCCATGACATTTCAGACTTTCTCTGCAACCTATACAGTGGTGCCTCGCAAGACGAGCGCCCCGTTTAACGACGAAATCGCATCACGAAGAATTTTTGCGATCGCAAAAGCGATTGCTTTACGATGTTTTAAATAGGGTTTTTTCGCTTTGCGATGATTGGTTCCCTGCTTCAGGAATCGATTCTTGCAAAACGACGATTTTCGGCCAGCTGATCGGTGGTTTCAAAATGGCCGCCGGGTAAAAAAAGTAGCTCCCCACTCTTTTCTGGGATGGATTCCTCGCTGCATGGGCAGCGAAAATGGCTGTCCTATGGAGGATCTTCACTGGACTGTGAGTTTCAAGCCCATAGGAATGCACTAATCGGGTTTTAATGCATTTCTATGGGCTTTTTTATTTCGCATTACAATGTTTTCGTTCTACAGCGATTTCGCTGGAACGAATTAACATCATAATGCAAGGCACCACTGTACTTGAACCCACAAGCAAATGTAAACAGGTTTATGAGTAATCTGGCCTTTCCTACAAGATTACTCATAAACATGTCCAAACCCACTAATAAGTTCAAACATAGGCTGCAGATCCTCTCCCTACAGATCAGCAACCTGTTGATCCATATGGGTTTCCAGAGGTATAACAATGTTTGTCTGTTCTAGCACATAATTTTGTGGCACATAAAAAGCTTACACCTGTATCATGACATACTCTTTCACTGACAGAAGTCCTCTTCATGAGGGTGTTTGTGTTCAGTGTGAACGTTCATGTATCTGTGAAATCGATCAGTACAGTGGGGTCTCTACTTAAGAACGTCCCTACTTAAGAACAATTCCACTTAAGAACAGCTCCATTTGCTAAATTTTGCTTCTACTTGAGAACAAAAATCCAGATAAGAACAGGGAAAAAAAACTTTCCTGCTCTTTTTTTAACCTTAGGTCATCTTAGGTTAAAAAAAAGTTCTCCCCCTAGTGGTAGAGTACGTATTAACCAGCTTTGCATTAGTTCCTATGGGAACTAATGCTTCAATGTATGAACGCACCTCTACATAAAAAAAACAGCCAGAACGGATTAATTAGTCCTCTTCATGAGGGTGTTCGTGTTCAGTGTGAACTGTCATGTATCTGTGAAATCGATCAGTATTTCATCCGTTGGATTTCCACAAACAGAGATTTGTTTCATTCTTGTCTTCTGCTTTACCTAATAATGTTCTTCGCTTTTAAGTTGATATGTTGCTTTCCGTTCATTTCTTTATTGTGTCCATACGGGCACTCCTACTGTTACAAAGATTGGTTAAAGTGAATAACTACATTGTTGTCTTTCATACATTGTGTCTGAAATTTCAAGGAATTGCATACTAGATCATATATTGCCTTCAGTTCATTTCTTTATTGTGTCCATACAGGCACTCCTACTGTTAGATTTGTTAAAGTGAATAACTCCATTGTTGTCTTTCATACATTGTCTCTGAAATTTCAAGGAATTGCATACTAGATCCGAAGTTCCTGAGAAGGTATCGGATGAGTTTGTGGCACCTCAGCTACGAGGTAAGCACTTCTTTAATAGTAGTCAATCTATTTCCAGCAGTCTGTGGTGTTGTAAGAAACAATGATAAATGTGATGTTAAGAACCAGGAGCGAAAGCTTTTCACAAGTAGAGGATTCCTATTTAATTTAATGTGGCAATTGTGTGCAAGGCACAAGAAGCATAAGGCCACTGTGATGCTTTTTTTGCCTGATAGTTGAAGTACAGGCTTTACCAATCTAGCCTCCAGCAGATATGCTGGACTCCAACCCACATTATAATTAGCCACCACAGTCATGCTACCTGGAGATGATGGGAACTGTAGTATGGCATCTAGATGGCACCAGGTAGAAAGGCAGCTCTAAGCTTTATGTTGGTTGGGTGATGGACTGTGCGATTCCTTGCCCCTACCACAAGATTATCAGAGCCAAAGTGAAGCATCTACAATAAGGAAGTTGTATATTCAAATGCATTGATTCATGTTTATGCAGATTGTAGAATTTTGTTTTCATGAGTACAGACATCACATTACCTAGGAGCTGCATTCTATGGTTTTGGGTATGTGTATGTGTCTTTCCTGAACACTTAATGCAGTCAGATTTAACAGAGCAGTTGTTATAGACATGAAGCAATACTTGTATTCTCTGGAGAAAGAATAGCCTATTCCTGTGCATAAAGGATTGCCACTTATGTAGGAAGAAATTGTGTTCCTTGTATTAAAAAAGTGTACATTCAAGGGACTACTTAGATTCTTTGGCAAACGAACCACAGTTACAGAACAATGTGGACATTTAATGGTAGCTCAAGCTGTTGAGAAAGTATATAGCGACTGATCCTGCTTCAGTTACCCTCCTTCAATATGTCAAAATACTTCTCAGCAATTCCCCACAGCAATAGCAGATTGCATTCCTTTCAGTGCTTTTAGGACCTCCAGGAACTATTTGGTTGTTCATGGGAGAAAATGACAGCCCTGTAACAAAATTGCCCTTTAATAATGTTGCCATAAGAAGCTGTTTAAGCCTCTTCAAGTCCTGCTTATCATTGTGTGGGCGTCTCATGTTGAGATTCATCCCTCTTCTGGAAAGAAAAGATGGGTAGTAAAATGATTTCAAAATTTGTTTTCAGCTAGACGCTTCTAGGTAGACCACTCCTAATGCTATGTCAGAAATATGCTGTGGGGATATGTATTTTCCTTAGCAAATTTTGCTGAAATCCTGAGCAAGAGCATTGTGGTGCAGTGGTTAAACTGTTAGTACTGCAGTCAAAACTCTGCCCACAACTTGAGTTCAATCCCAGCCAGCTCAGGTAGCTAGCTCAAGCTCGTGTAGCCTGTATAATTAAATTGTAAACTCAGCTCAGGTAGCTAGCTCAAGCTCGTGGACGGGAGTGGGGGCAATGTGTAGCCTGTATAATTAAATTGTAAACTGCTCGGAGAGTGCTTTAAGCACTGTGGGGCGGTATATAAGCAGCACGCTTTGCTTGAACGTATGTCACATTAGAGTGATTACATCATCAGCTGTGGCGATTTTTCAGAAATTGACCTGAAGCTTTGGCCAAGATAATATCCAGCGGTGTAGGTATCAAATACCAGTGCATTAGGGACTTTTTTCCTCCACATCTTGCTGCAATCCTGCTCCAGCAAGAAGTTTCCCATTAGATTTTTGATGTGGGTCCATAGGATTTAGCAAACTTGGAGATCTACAGAGAGTTTCAGGAAGAAGAAAGGATTGTGGATCTGAGTTTTCACTTATAGCCGCTCAGAGTGTCAGAAGACCAGATGGGCGGGGTACAAATCAAATAAATAAATAAAATAAAATAACAAAAAGTTTAAAAAGGCACAAAACATGATGGCACTTTAAAGACTTTTATGTTTTTTAATGTGTGCTTTTGTGGGCAAGTCCACTTCATCAGACATAAAAGGAGATATATTTCCCATGTTATATCTCCTTCTCTAACGTTTGATGAAGTGGACTTGTCCACGGAACGCTCACATTTAAAAAAAAAGTTAGTTTTTAAGGTGCCACCACGTTTTTGTCTTTTTTTCCCTTTGTATTTTTCTTTAGTTTCCACCTATAATGCTTGCAACAGAGTAACACAGCTACCCCTTCTACAAGCTGATCTGAATAGAAGCAGGGGGATCCATTTTTTGTATTTTTCTTTTGTTTCCACCTGTAATGCTTGCAACAGAGTAACACGGCTACCCCTTCTACAAGTTGATCTGAATAGAAGCAGGGGGATCCATTTGAGGTATATGCCTGGATTTGGGTCTAATATTTGACTTGTCTTGTAATGGAATAGATTTACCTACATTTTAAAGCTAAAGTTACTATTTATTTATTTATTTATTCATTCATTCATTCATTCATTCATTCAGTCAGTCAGTCAGTCATTCAACTTCTATCCCACCCATCTAGCTACCAAGGCCATTTTGGGCTGTTCACATTCAACTTCTATCCCACCCATCTGGCTACCAAGGCCATTTTGGGCTGTTCACAACACAATAAAACAGACGACACTTGAAAAGGCACTAATCGTAATACCGTAGCTATAGGGAAAAAAATCAAAATTGAACATATGAATTCACATACACAAAAACAATATCAGACTAACTAGAATTATTTTTAAAAGGCAAAGTGGTGGAACAGATAATATAAGCACTGAAATGAGAAATAAATAAATCACATTTGGACCCAATATTGTACAATATACTCCATAATGATCTAACTAAAATAGTACTTGATTCCTTTTTGGTATTTTAACTTTTCATGCCAATACTTTTTCTCTAGATTCACTTACTGAACCAGTACAGGAATGGCCTTGGAAGGATATTGGGGTAAGCAATAAGTATTTACGTGTAAAACCCTCCATGTTGCCTGTCGGACCATCTTTCCTCAGTGTAATCTGCCCAACCCACTAGATCATCACAGGCGAGGCTCCTTTAAGTCGTCACGCTGAGGGAGGCCTGTAAGTCTTCTACAAGACGTGGGGCCTTCTTCATGGTGGCTCCAGCTTCCAGAGGAGCTGCACCTGGGCCCCCTCCTTGTGGCTATTTAGGAGATGTCTCAAGATGTGGCTCTTCAGGGGGGCTCTCCACACTGGCATTAGTTGACCACCCACTCTTTGTTCTCTTTTGTTGTGTGCATTTTGATTGGCGCCATCTGTTTTTGTAGTTATTTTTATAGCTATTTGCTTATCTGTTCTTATTGTCTTTATTGTGTCATTTTTATTTCTGCCTAATTTTCAACTATTGTAAATCCACACAGAGTAGCATCTTGGTACTAAAGGAAATGGTATGCAAACTAAATCAATCAATCAGTCAATCCTATTATATTTGCAAAAGACAGCTTAATATATTTTGGGAGTATTCATATTGTTTTTGTTGGTCATGGTTGTATACAGAGTTTGTCTGTGGTCTGTCACAGAAAACTGTGCAAAGAGTGATATCTGATTAACAGTCCAATTTCTGGATGTATTGTTTGAAAGTTGCTCCCTCTCTGAAAGGTTGGAGCCTCTTTACAGTTCATTTGGAAAATGTTGAGTGAAGTCCGTTATGCTTGAGATTTCCCTGCCTTCAACTTCCTTCATTAATGGAGCTTATTCTTCTTCGTGGCCTTTGTTGAATGCAGATATTTGGGTTGTTCTGAGCCTGCGCAACACGTCTCGGAAGTTTCTAGAGCTTAAAAACATGTGATTAGTAGGATGTTCCCCCATGGAGTGCATACTCCACCTTCCAAAGGTCCCCTCAGTTCCTTTTTGCCGCTGCTTTGGTTGGACCTGTTTCGGAATGCTAGAGCAATTATTGAACTCATTTACTGACTCTTTACTGATTCTTTCAATCATTTCTTTCATTTTCTGTTTCAATCATATTTTTTTGGACATTCCCCTGTAAGTTATCCGATACTTGGCAGAGTGCCTGCTCCCACCTAGATCTACTCGGATCACCCGTGCGAGCCAGGAGGTGAGGCTGAGGGGCTTAACGCTGAGGGAGGCCCGGAAGGAAAGGACACGAAATTGGGGCAGTGGCCCCTCGCCTCTGGAACAACTTGTCCGTAGAAATCCCCCTGGCTCCCTCTCTGGGTGTCTTTAGAAGTAAACTTAAGACATGGCTATTTAGGAAGGCTTTCCCTCCTGCTGTATTTTAATATCTACATTTTTACATCTTGGGTTTTGTTATGTTATTGGTTTTATTGTTTTTAAATTTCATAATGCCGCCCAGAGGAGACTATCTGTCTAGATGGGAGGGGTATAAATCTAATACAATAAATAAAATAAATAAATGTCCATGGGCATATCTTTTGTAATACAGTGGACCCTCGACTTCCGGAATTAATCTGTATTGGAACAGTGGCTGCAGGTTGAAAAGTCTGTAGGTCGAGGCTCCGTTGACCTACAATACATTGAAAACCGATTAATCCGTAACCGGCCGTTTTTGTTCCATTTTGTTTTTTTTTCCTGGTCTGTAGGTCAATTCTCCGGCTGCAAGTCGAACCTAAATTTTGCAGCCAGAAAAGTCTGTAACTTGAAAAGTCTGTAAGTCGAGCCGTCTGTAAGTCGAGGGTCCACTGTAGTCTGTCTTCAAGAACACAGTATTCCCAACTACTATTTTTACCCAATTAAAAAAAGACAGGTACAAAAACTTTACTCATATAATATCTTTGTCAGCAACCCCAAACAGGCATATAAATATTCTGCTAGATACATAATGAAAAGCACACATTTAAAATTCATTACTAGCTGCAAAAAAACAAAAAAAATTCTTTAAAAGCTTTATCTAAATCTCAAAAAAAAGTCCTTACTTTTGGTTTGCGACCCCAGCTTTAGTTGAAATGAAGAAATAGTCACCTGGTTGCATGTGGATTCGACTCTTCCTTTTGATACGCTCTGCTAAAAAAATGTAGAAGCAATGTGCGAACAGGGAAGGGAAGATTTCTTTGCTGGTACAATGAATATACTGCTTTCATGAGAATCTCTGTTGAACCTAAAGAGGGAAATAAAATTGATATATGACACTTTATATGATCTGCAGTGCATTACAGAGCCACCTCTTGGCAGCAAACCACACCATGTCTAGAACAAATCACAATTATATTACACAGTAATGTGATGCATGTAGGAGTGTGTGTAGGGGAGGGCTACTGCATTGTAGCAAGTCTTCATATCTCAAAGCATTCTTAAATTTTAAACAAAAACATGTTTTGGAAATATGGGGAAAAACTTTTAAGTTCAAGGGGGGAGAACTATAATCACTACACAAGTTACTTATGAAAATCCAGTTAAAATATAGCACACTGTGCTGTCTGGAAGAATTCCTATCCTATCCAATTTTCATTTACAATATGATTGGGAATGTTCACTAGCGTGCCTAAATGAACAATTCACCTCCAATCAGATGCTAAGCTCTGCATTATATGAACTGAAGTCTTAGTTATTTCAGTCAATCCATCCTAGATGTGACTAGGTCTGGATCCAATAATGTGTCATTTTTGCTTTTGAAAAGGTGTGTTAAACCTTTTTCAAATACAGTATCTGAAATCCTGTTGCCTAACTTACATTTGTGGAAGGTTAATGACATCACTAGCAGGGAGTAATTTTTGGTAATTAAAACTTCCTATCTCTGTCCCACAGCTTTTTTTCACATGGACGCAACCAAACCACCATACCGATCACCATCCTCACAATCCTCTCTTTCTACTCAAGATTCAACATTAGGTATATCCCAGGAATCATCCACTAATTTACCGACTCAATCTTCTGATGTGGGCGAAAAGCATCCACCATCCCCATCAGAAGATTTTACATCTTATTCTCGTCATGCGAATGGCAAAGTTTTTACAACTCAATATCAAAGAACCACCATCTCAAAAGAAAGACCTGATCTTCGATTATGTCAATCAGGATAAGACACCACCCCTTAGCTTGAGTTTCATCCCGGCTATGCTTTATTTAGTAAAAGAATCATGGGACAAACCTCCCTCCTCACTTCAAATTTGAAGTCCAATGCACCCCACCCTCTGACATCATTGAGATTACTCCATACTCACTTGCTCTCCATGAAGAAGTTTCCTTTCTTCTACAAAAACAAGCCAGACTCATAGTCCCTTCCTCTACGTTGGATGATTGATTTCACTCCAGATACTTTACAGTCCCCAAAAATAATGGAGGACTCTGTCCTATTCTCAGTCTTAGAAACCTTAATAAATTCATTTGACCTAGATGCTTCAGAAAGTTGACCCTCGACACTATCATCCCTCCATCAGACTCAATTCGGGTAACAGCATATAACTTCTAATTATTTCAACTTTCTCAGTTTCTTTACGCCTCACTGGGGGGCGTTCTCGGTCGGTCATAGGCCGTATCGGAATAGTTCTGACCGCGCAAGCGCTCCCGCAACATGGGTGTCTCGCCCAGTCCCCCTCCCGGTGGCTCTGTAGCAAAGAGGGACTGGGACGGATCACCCTCCTAATTAGGGTAACAGCGTATAACTTCTAACTATTTCAACTTTCTCCGTTTCTTTACGCCTGACTGGGGGGCATTCTCAGTCGGTCATAGGCCGTATCGGAGTAGTTCTGACCGCACAAACGCTCCCGCAACACGGGTGCCTCACCCAGTCCCCCTCCCGTTGGCTCTGTAGCAAAGAGCGACTGGGACGGATCACCCTCTTCCCCCCCACGTTGATTGTGTGGATAAACCACCACAGTCCATTCTAGTGGATCCAACTCTTGCCCGCGCGTTAGAAAATCTGGTGGTTCTGGGAGTAAGCCTCCACTTACTTGCAATTAAGGAATTCCTTTAACAACTTTCGGAAACCCTCCTGGCCCATGCTCCATTTCGTTCGCACTGATCTCTCTTTCTTATCAACTGGTTCGCTCTTTACCACTCTCAACCTTCCCGCCTTTTCGCCCTCCTTTATATCCTCCCACACAATCAAATCAAGCTCCTCCCCTTTCTCATCAGCCAGACACACTTCTCTATATTCCTGTACTTCTTGGTCGTCAGGCTCCACCTCTACAAGTATCCCTTCTATACATTCTCCTCCTCCTCCTGCTCCTTTAACCGCGGAGGACGGCTCACTCCTTTTCTGTCCTTCACAGCAATTTTTTTGGAAATTAAACATTTTCAACCCACCCACCCCGACACACAGCACCCCAGCCTCCACAGTCCTGGGCAATCCCTTTCATTGTCAGGAATTTGTCAGGGCCACCAGATGAAACAGGAAGGCCTTAATTGCAGAAAATTAATTGTCACTGCCAGTAAAGTCATACTCATGGTGCCCTTACAGGTTCCTGTTAATGAAAGGCAGTATTTGGGACTGTGGGGAAATTGCCTTGGGTGATGATATTACCCTGTTTCGCTGAAAATAAGCCCTAACCTGAAAATAAGCCCTAGTATGATTTTCAGGATGCTCGTAATATAAGCCCTACCCCAAAAATAAGCCCTAGTTAAGTGAAACCCTGCCCTCCACCATTGTGCAGCATTGTACAGCAACCAGAAGAAGATGACATGACTGTAAAATAAAACATTCCCTGAAAATAAGCCCTAATGCATTTTTGGAGCAAAAATCAATATAAGATAGTGTCTTATTCAGCATAATAAGTCACAACTACTTCCATGGGAAGTAAAAAGTGAGATAAGAGGAATCTCCTTTGTATAACAGGGAAGTTTCCCACGAGAGATGCTCAACCCAGTCCTTAAAATGGGGCAGCAAGTTTTTTGTTGGTCTTTGAGCAGTGAAGCCCTGGATGTCTGCATCCATTCACTGCTCACATCTTATTAAATTATTTTATTTATTCTGTTTGGGATGGTGGGGGGCAGAATCAGGACTGTTTCTACCCATTCAGACTCCTAACCATGAGTGCCTTTTGGCACTGCTGCCCACCTCCTGACTTCCCTTCCCCATACAGAGTTCATTCAAGTTATAGCTGTAACATACTGTATGGGTGAGTCGGTCCATTTGAGCCAGCTTAGGCAGACATTAGAAGCAAAAGAAAATTGTGCAGGTACAAGCATGAGTAACAAGTTCCTGGCATAACAAAGGGGGTGATTCAGACAAAGATAATTACAACAATGAACACCATTACAGGTCTGGCCTTCATCTTAAACTGATCTCAGAAAGCCTTGGTTTGTGCTCTGTCTTTCTCAGCCCTGCCTTAGAGTAGCCCTTGTATGAGTTTAGGGCAAGGGTTTCTCAACCTTCTGTATCCTAAAGTTTCACCAATCACTTTTTCAAACAATCCGTGTCCTACCATTATAAAAACTAAACAAAAAAACTGCTTCTTCCAAGAAGCACATTAATACATTTCAGTAATTCCTTTGTTATATTTAGGATAAGATTTAAAGACAGAAAAATACAAGTAAAAATGTTATTTTTACTGTATTTTTGTCTTTAGATCTTATCCTAAATATGTTATCCTAAATATGTTATTTTTACTGCATTTGCATTTTTACCTCAAAGGCAGTAAAAAATAACAACCGAAGGCACTGAACACTTTAGTAGGGCTAGAGCACAAGGTGTTACTTTTTATACATACGTGTGTATACACTTTAAAAAGCAGCCCGTTTGTTAGCCCTTTGCTTCCAAGCTGTGTTGAACCAAAGCCTTAAACCTGCTTCTTTGTACAATCCAGCTGGTGATGGAGCAGGATCTGTAGGCCAGCCCATTAAATTCCAGATTGGCTGAAATTCAATAGACAGACATTCCTATGAGTATTTAGTGGACAAATTGAACTGTCAGAACTTGATTCGTCAGTGGTTAACTTCCTTGAGTATATTCAACAGGGTAAGTACCTAGTACTAAAAATTGACATCCATGTTGGACTGGATGTCAAGTTGGCTGCAGGAATTACCTAAATGAGATCCACCTAAATGAAGCTTTCATGTTCAGAGATATTATATGGCTGAATATCAGATACTACTTTGAACTCTCGGCAAGCATCTGGGGCATCTTCCTTTTCCAATAGGAGACAGGGCCTGAGCTCAGCCTGTCCTGGTCCCTGAGGGCTTCCAGCTCACCCTTCTCCAGGCAAGCATGATTCAGGTCTCTGTCTGGCAAATGCAACTCCCAGGAGGAAGGATTCCGATTTTTGGGATAAACATACAAACAAATGCACATACGCCTTATTTACTCTGTTAAGGCTAAATCCAGTTGTTAGTCTAGAGTAGATCAATTGAGGGAATGGGAGTTAATAAATCAGAATTCTCTAGCTCTGTCCTGCTTGACTTTAGCAAGTAGATCTAATCTCTAGACTTTTTCTAGGCTGTTTATTGAAATTCTGATATATTATCTTGATCATTTTGCCAAGTAAATGAAATCCTTTGTTAGTATTTTCTAAAATTCCTTGGGATTGTCCTTCCTGTTGTGTTAGCCGAATCCCTGGAATGCATATGCTTGCTCTATGTAGCTTTTGAAAATATAATTACATTTGCCTCTCTCTTTAAATATCACAGTTTCAAGAAGCAGTTTTTAGCAGGAACAAGTTTGAACCATTCTTGAGACATGTCTGTAAAGAACAACCACCTCCATTTAAGAAAAGTCAATCAGATGATTTCAGCCATCTAGAAGAAACATATCCACTTGATGATATGAAAGAACAAGAAGACCAAGATCCACCGGATGGACTATCTTTAACAAAAGCGGACAATACTCCAGATGCCAGATTAACCAAGAGTGGTGAACCGCTATCTATTCTAAGACTCATAGAAAGAAAAATAGATTTAGAAGAGGAAGGCAAAAAAATTATCACACCGACTAAAAAAGAATCCTATGTACAGGCTATATCTTCTGGTATTTTTCAGAAGCCACAAGGAGATGAACTATCAGAAGCAGAAATAGAAGAGGCCCAGGTTTACTTTAAGAAATCTCTAGAAGATTTTCTTGTGGATAAACTTGTAAAAATATCAGCAGTGAAATCACTTCTTAGCCAAAACATTGAAAACCTGGTTGCAGAGAGACTCTCAGAAGCAGAGCTATCCCAAGAATTAGAAGACAGTAGCTCACTGGATGACAAAGAGAAGTGTTTACCTGTGGGAAGTAACTCTAGCTCTGTAGAGACTTTTTCAGAACCATATATGAAACAACTGAAAGAATTAGTAAGTTCTAACTTGCAAACTCGTCTTACAGGAGAATTGTCTGAACAAGGGATAATCCCAGAGACCGAACTAGCTGAGAAAGACCAGGCTTCCCTTCAGAGTTCTGCTGATTTGCTTAAGAGAAGAGAAAGTTTGTCCAAAGAAAGAATTTCACAATCTGAAATAACAACAATAAAATCACTAAGTGACCGTCTATCAGGAAATATTTCCAAAACCGAATCCATAGGGAGCAATAAAGGAAGTAGTAACGAGAATCAACCAAAGGTTACAAAGCCAGGTTCATCTGAAAGCAAAGTATACGACAGAGATAAAACCACTTTCTCTTTTAAGAACAAAGACAGTTCAGTAGAAGGAACAAATGCAGAGGCAAACTTAGAAAGTGGACACTCCAAACAGCCCCTGGAAATAATTAGAGTAACATTACCATTGAGCAACAAAGAAGCAGATCGTAATAAGCAGTCACTTTCAACTTATGACAGAGTCCTAGAAAAAGTTTTAAAAGCAGAAATAACTAGTTTGAAATCATTTTTAAGCAAAAAGCTTCAGGACCATCTTAAAGAGAAACTTTCAGAAACTGGAATAACTCCAGAGGACTTGGAAACAGTATGCCGGAAGTTGTCCTTAGATGGCAAACACGTGGCACCAGAGAAGGGTGCACTGCAAGAGGTCCAGATTTCATCTAAGGAAGACCTCACTGAAGAAGCACCTCTATTAAGAGAAAGTATTCAAAACTTGTTAGATGCACTTTCAGACAATGAAATGAACAATCTGAAATCTGCATTGTCCAAAAAGGTACAGGAGCAACTTTTAGAAAGACTTTCTAAACTACACTTCATTAAAGAAAAGGAGTTAAAGAAAATACTTGAAAACCTGTTTCCAGATACGGCCAAAGAAACATCACAAATGGAAGTTAAAGGATCAGGTTTGCCCGCAGAAGGACAAACAGCAGCCCCCCTAACTCAAAATCTGCATGAGAGATTTTCAGAAAAGGAACTACAAAATCTAAAGGATCTCTTAAGCAGACTTCTGAAAGAAGATCGCAAAGATAAACTTTCAGAATCAGAAATAAAAGGCTTAACATCCATTTTACAGAAGAGCTTTGAGGATCTTCCCGTACAAAACAGTTACGAGACTGGGATAAGCAAAGAAGTAGAGATAAAGGATGAATGCCGTAGTATATCTTTGTCAGATGTTGAAACAAGGTTCAAGACTAGTAACGCAGAGGTAGTGTCTAACAGGGGAAAGGTTCGCTCAAAGGAAAGTCGTCATAAAATTTCAGCAGCTGGTGAAAAACAAGGTGCAAGAAGAGAAAGTCTAGACCATTCAGTAAACAGTATTTTTGAAGTAGAAACAAAGAGCCAAGAAACCCAGACCACATTTCACCCAAAAAGGGGGAAGCAGGGTTCTAGAAAAGAAAGCCACAGGTTGCCAGGTTATCCGAATAATCTTCCGGAGACCTCCGTTTCCAAGAGAGGATCGTTTGAAGCAGGATTGAAAAGCAAGCCACCTGATGAACATTCAAAGAAAATATCCGAACCGTTTGCCTTCTCTTCCTTTTTGAGTGCACATGATATTGGTGTCCAAACAGATATAAAGAATTACCTTTCCAAACCACCCGATTATCTCTCCAAGCCTCCCTTCCCAGTAAATCCCCAGACGTTTCTCCTTTTACATTCAGAATCTGAGGAAGAAGCTAAGCCAGCTGGCAAGCCACACCAGAGGACAAAAAACAAGAGGAGGTCTGACAAGAAGAAGGATGCTGGGGCAGGCCCCACACACCAGGCAGTGGCAGCAAGTGCTCCGACCAGGAAGGAAAGGACAAGTAATGGAAACGGACCTAAGGAGGGTTTGAAAGAAAAAGGCAAGAAGCGTGGCGAACCACCTTGTCCAAAGCTAAGCGTGACAGAAAACAGGAAGGATTCGAAAACAGTACTCTCTGCCGGTGGCGTGAGAAAGGAAAGCCTGAAACACAAGTCTGAGAAGAAGCAGGACAATGAGGTGAAGCCACGGAAATCTCATAGCAAGACTGCTGCCCTGTCTGAACCCCATCTACAAAACCTGGCAAAAAATCTTACAGAAAAATCATCTGCCACAAAAATTTCAGCTTCTGGACGTGCAAAAGTAAATACACTGGTGAGCACATTACTGATACAGGCTGTATTCTTTAATGCATGTCTATTTTCTAATCTCATGGGAGGCTAGTGCTGTGGACTAGTGTTGTAAATAAGATGTTAAGGTGAACATATTTGAGAAGCATGACAGACTTCTGAATAGGGTGTATGTCCTACATTAAAATTAAATGTTAGTAATATAGGCACCACATTGGTACTTTGTTCCATTGCTGAGCATCTTCTAGTTCTTCCTTTCCCTTCACTGTGTGGTTTTTCCACTAATTCTCTCCTCATACCCTTTTTCCTCAATATGCTGTACCCCATACCTTCAGCCACTTTGCTTCCTGAGTTTTCTGACTTTTAAGTCCTATGCATTCTCATCTCTTCTAACTCAGGTGCTCAGCCTCACCAGCATTATTGCTGACATTACACTTTCCTGCCAACAGCTGCAAGCTCATAATCAATAGAAGTTATATGAAGCTTCCCTAAGTACACCAGCTATATGTTACCTTTACAGACCTTCCAACATTTCTCTTGTCTATTAAGGTTTTTCACCAGTTTTGGACAAAGGAAGTGGGAATCTACAGACTAAAAAATGTGTGCTGATTATGTATAGCCCCATAGGACTTAAAGCACTCTCTGGGACTTTTTAATTTAATTTAAGTGTCTATGCTACACAATGCCCCCACCCCCAGCAAGCTTTCTTTTTAATTTAAGTGTCTATGATACACAATGCCCCCACCCCCAGCAAGCTTTATTTACCTACCTCAGAATGATGGAAGGCTGAGCAAATCTCAAGCCAGCTACTTGGGATTGAATCTGTGTCATGAGCAGAGTTTTGGCTGCAGCACTGCAGTTTAACCACTGCACCACAAGGCTCCAAAAGCAGCTGAAGCCTTTTAGAATCTAGGATTCCAGATATTAGAAATGTCATTGAATGTGATAGGTGAACGAGAATAAGGCCATCCTCAAGTAGAGTTGCTCCACGAACAGCATTGATTCTGCAGTGGAATGGGAGGGCATAATCTTCTCTATCCCCTAACACAGTGGTCCCCAACCTTGGGCCGCCAGATGTTCTTTGACTACAACTCCCAGAAGCTTTCACCACCACCTCTGCTGGCCAGAATTTCTGGGAGTTGAAGTCCAAGAACATCTGGAGACCCAAGGTTGGGGACCGCTGCCCTAACAGACCCCTGTGCCATCCCCAAAACCTGTGCCAGAGGGCCACGAAACCCTCTGGAACCTGTTTTTGGGTAGCATGGAGGTGTAATGGGGAGGAGAAAAGTTTCCTCACAGGAGCAGGTGGGTAGCATAATGTTAGATTTAAGGCAAGAACAACACAAGCTGAGTAATACATAAGCCATTTAATATATTATTTAATATAACACTGCCTGAGGTTTTACCTATATTAAGGATATATTATGTTATTAACTGGAAAAAAATATTGATTCTGCAGTGGAATGGGAGGGCATCTTCTCTATCCCCTAACACAGCGGTCCCCAACCTTGGGCCTCCAGATGTTCTTTGACTACAACTCCCAGAAGCTTTCACCACCACCTCTGCTGGCCAGGATTTCTGGGAGTTGAAGTCCAAGAACATCTGGAGACCCAAGGTTGGGGACCGCTCCCCTAACAGACCCCTGTGCCATCCCCAAAACCTGTGCCAGAGGGCCACGAAACCCTCTGGAACCTGTTTTTGGGTAGCATGGAGGTGTAATGGGGAGGAGAAAAGTTTCCTCACAGGAGCAGGTGGGTAGCATAATGTTGGATTTAAGCCAAGAACAACACAAGCTGAGTAATACATAAGCCATTTAATATATTATTTAATATAACACTGCCTGAGGTTTTACCTATATTAAGGATATATTATGTTATTAACTGGAAAAAAAGGGATTGTTTTATGTTTTAATGGAATTTTATTACCTTGCCCGACTTTACTTAACAATAATTATATGTATCTATTTTATATTGATTTGGTTTAACTGGTCTTTGACCATAATAAAGTATACTACTACATAAGCCAATTCCTAAGTGCATC